AAGAGTTCCATAGATATTTTCATCTATCGTTCGAAGAAGTAACGTGTATGCATATGCATGTCTGTGATATTTTACAAATACTTAAACTGTCAAATATCAGTATTGGTGTGAGTGATCGATTACTTCTGTTCAGAGTGCCGATGTGGTAGAGCGATTACTTTTAATTGTCGGCGAAGTCACGCTCCAATCATTTACTATATTACGCAAAAATAGATAAAGAAACAATTGACGATACAATGAGAGACGATTGGCGAATAGACTATTACTTTGGACACGTCAAATTGTGATCTTCTCGTAATCTTAATCGGCATCAATAAAATATTTATCGAGCTGGTCATCGCGGCGTTGCTCCGGAAAGCTGGAATTTGTCTACGTAAGCGACTCAATTCGCGAACGTCGATCTCATGATATATGCCCTCTTACGCAAGAATAAATGCCAGCCAGACTGTTAACAGTCCCATAGCGAGAACCTGCGAGCACAATAGGGACAGTATGCACAACGACTCGGTTGGCACTTGTTTTTGTGTAAGAGCTGAGAGAACTGAGTCGCTACATCAATTGATATTTTTTTACAACAGAACATTCGTCATCGGTGACGAGGACATAGCTTGATTTTGTTGGTTTCGGTTTTCTTCCCTTAGCACGCCCAACTTGAAGTTCTCGGGGCAATATTATTTCTTGTTTCTGACCCTTGTGCTCGTACTATCACTCATTGCATTTATCGTTCTACATTTGTACGAAGCAACAAGAACTCGTTGCGATCCAAATTTTCTCGCAAGCTATAAGCGACGAGTAGTATTGATAACATTGATCACACATTAGACAAGAAAAAAATGAGATAATAAAGAGTAACAAAGCGAACAGTTCGTCCGTATTTAGGAAAGTTTATTGTACATTCTGATTAGAGTCTGTTACTTCTTCAGTAATAGATTTCTGCCAAGTATCCAACCATATTTTTATCTATATAGACATCTCGCCTATCAGTTGTCCATTATTTGCGCCCAATTCGTGAACCCACTCGCATGCTTTTTGACAATTTGGATCATGGTAGCGAATATAAAGATTATTAATTGCCTATCTCTGGTATGTTTGATTACTGGATGCTTACATTATGTGCATAGCTCTATTATCTCCTGCATCCCCGTTGCAAAAATCAACGGTCAGTGTCGGATTGATCGGCCTGTCCTGGATCAGACGGGCTTGGCGAACGATGCGATTATTTCGTTCGTTTTAATATCAGTTGTTTCAAGGCATATAACTTCTATTTTGGGGACAATTACTAAAAGGCTTCTATATATAATGATGGCTCGAACTATTTTTATGTACAAATTAGAAACAAAAATAAGCGGACAATAAGAAAAATAAAGAGTTTTTATGAAGATAGTAAGAATATCTTATACTTTTAGTGGTAGAGAGAGAGAGAGAGATAGGTTGAAAATGTATTGTTCCAATTTACGAACGAAAGGATATACTTTATTTAAGTAGAGGTAGTATAATATATGTATGTATATACTTCCTACATTATTATATTTAAAAAATTCCAGAAATCAAGAAGCCAAGATGCCATGTATGTACATTTAAGAAATTTATGTAATTACACCTGAGTAGTCTATTAGCAAAAGTTGTTAGCTTTACTTGAAATTTTTTTTTTTTTTGCGAAAGCGAAAAAACTTGTATAACTTTTCGTATTCAATCTATTAATAAGATTTTTTAAATCCAGAAAATTTAAATATTTTAGGTAACGAAACGTGTAATATGGTATGTGAAATACACAATTTCTATTGATCAAAATAGAATGAGTAGTTTTGTAGCGAAAAAAAGATTTAGCTAATTTTGAAACAAAACGTCTACCATTTTTATTAAATATGTCTTTAATAAATATAATTGCACTTGAAGCAATAGGAATTTAAGAATTCTTTTTTTAGAATTAAACCGGCCAGATTTTTGCCTTTGATTTTAAGAGTTAATAACTATTTCAGCACATTTTTGAAACATTTAATTCATGACTAAGAAGCAAAGGAATTTTGGAGTTCCAATACCTTATTTAAAATTTTTTTTTATTTTGGATATACGAGTAAGCTTTTGCATTTCGACATTCACATAAAAAAATTATGTAATACATCTATGCATTTACAATTTCTGTAGATGTATTTAACATAGTACATGTATTTAATATATTACATACTAGCAAAGTACGTAATATATTTTAATAGCGAAAGTGTATTCACAACTTTTACATTACAAAGCCATGTGAACAGTCGCTACTTAACAATAAATAATATAAACATAGTTATATATTTTAATATAATTATTATAGAACATACTGTTGCAAAAATTTATTCAAATATTTATTATTTACAACAAATTAAATCTCTAAATTGGAATCAATTGTTTTACAAACGTAATTTGAACAGAGCATTATAATTATTATTTTCAAATAAAACTTATATTTTGTAACTTTTATTTGCTGAAGATCCCGTTGTCAGAATCCTTCATCTCTCAGTTGGACGGAGAATTCACCTCCGTTGATTAAGTTTATTAAACGAATAAACAAATTTAATTTTTTCTCGAAAAGAAATAAATCGAATGTATATCGATCGAGATACATGCATTTCTTTCGTGACACTCTATATAGATGGCGTTGCTTGTGTGCAAAGACCTTAGGCTGGAATCAGACTACGCATTGAAGATTGAGGTTAAAGATTGAAGATTGAAATTTGACCAATAAGGACAAAGAAATTTTAGCTCCTTTCATTTCCATTGGTCAAATTTGAATTTTTCAATCTTCAATCTCCTTCAATGCATAGTTTGATTCCGGCCTTAGAACATATACTACTGGAAGAGGAATAGGGCGCTGAACGTGAAGCCAACATCTGTGCGAGAGAGAAAGGTAAAGAGGTCCTAATGTTCGCAATGCGCATGTGCAGCACCGCCGCTGTGTGAATTATACACAGTTGGTTTAGTATTTCTTACATTCGTACATTACACAGATGCGTAAGACAACGGTGCTGTGTGGTGCTGCGCATGCACATTGCGAACATTAGGACCTCACTACCTTTTTCTCTCGCACATAGTGTTGCCAGCTCTACCGTTTTAGTGGTAGATTTACCGTTTTGGCTCACGAACCTTATTGCCTACTGTTTCAGCTAGGTTATCTACCGTCTTTCTTTATTTTATTTTGCATTATATTTATAAGGTGCGTTCAGGGAGGCGCTATTAGTGCTATTGTGTCATTCTATCCTTGTTTTACGTCTGATAAACAACGAAGATAGAATGACAGAAGTAGCGCTATTAGCGTCTCCCCGAACGCACCAATATAATATCCTATGTTACTACTCATTTTACTCAAAGACAAGAAGACTAGAACTAAGGAGGATCAACTCGCGTGGTGGGAGTGAGTCAAAAAACGTCCGCGGCTATTAACACGATGTGCAGCGGCACTGCGCATTGTGTGAAAGTTCGATATAAGAGCGACAAAGTGACGATTATAAAACGACAGAGCGACGACTATATAGAGCGTCAGAGAGGACTAATGAAGCGCAAGAGTGGGGGAAGTTATCCGTCGCCACTTTTTGCCTCACCCCCACTACCGCTATTGGCACGAGTTGACTCTCCTTAGTTCTAGTCTTCTTGCTCAAAGATTAGTATCTCCTATCCGCCATGTTGTTCGCGCATCTCGCGCATCCTTCTGATTGGACGTTAGTATCGTATACACTATTGTGTCATTGGTCTAGGTTACTTTTTATAAAATATTAAATAATTTGTAATAATCATCAATGTAATTATCAATGAGAAATTTATAAATAAAGATTAAAGGAAAAAGTATATGAGTACATTCTTTTTATTATTTTTACTTTTTTGCTACTGAGTTGTTTTCGGTTATGTATTACTTATAACTACAATATTTTTTCTATTTTCTAACAGTTTTACGAAATTTCTTCAAAAAAAAATAAAAGAGTACCGCTTTAAATGGGTGCGTTCAGCAGAACTTTTGTTTTGCAACTGTTGGAAGTTTCCTTCGCGCTAATTGAATCATACTTTTAGATCTAGAAGAATGGTCCTATCTCAGCAGACAATCATAAAACGGTTGCAAAACTGTTGAAGCCCATGGCACATACAAAAACGTAAGGCCGTAAGACGTAAGCAGTAAGGAAATCGTAATGCGTGATCTACAATGGGCAGTAGTAGTAGTGGATTAAGAAGTTGGCGTAGAAATCAACCAATCATAATCGAATATGAGGAGAATAATCAACCATGATTGATCGATTTCTACGCCTATTTCTTAATCCACTACTGCCACTGTCCATTGTAGACCACGCATTACATTGGATTCGCTACTGGCCTTACGTCGCTATCGTTATTGGCCAATTCGCTTACTGATTACATCTTACAGCTTTACGTTTTTGTATGTGCCATGGGCTTAAGTCTGCTGAACGCAGCCAATGTCAAATCTACTGCTTTTTTGGCATATCCTCTATTTACCGTCCAATTTTTCAACCATCTGGCAACACTGCTCGCGCAGATGTTCGCTTCATCTCGGTATACTTGATATATTTATACCCGTATTCATAGTCGGGCCTTATATTTAAGGCTTCCTTAAATTTATCTTTAGATGCTCAGTAGCCAATGAAATCATTCGTAGAGCATCTAAAGATAAATTTAAGGAAGCAAATTAAAGGAAATTTAAGCGGGGAGCACAGACTTTTGCATAACGCATAACATGTTGCATAAGAACTTCAATGCATAAGAAATTCAATCAATCAGAATTCTTTATTTCATGGAAAGGAAGGAAACGGAGGGCTTTGATTGGTACATTTTCTTATGCATTACGTGTTATGCGTTATGCAAGAGTCTGTGCTCCCCGCTATAAATATAAGGCCCGACTATGAATACGGGTGTAAGCCTCTTATGGACCATGTCATATTTTTTTAAGAGGTTATGGCGTGGCGAAGCAATAGGGTTGTCAATAAATGTATGTGTTTTGTAAAAAATAGCATGAATTATTCTTGTCTAAGGAGGTCAAAGATTTCATCGAAAGATAAATCATCGTCTGAATTAGATGATTTTACATATTCTGCCGAATCTGTATCGGAAAGGCTCTCCTTAATATGGTCCATTGAATTTGAAGCGCTCAGTACGAATCTGTATTGAGATACAATGTGATGACAAAAATTTAATAGTGATAAAATATTTAGCATTTAATGTTATAATTATATTATTCCATAATTATACGACAGCTATTACTTTTAACAGCTATAGATTTAAATACAAATAGATTTAAATATATGATCAATATAAGAATTTTACTGGCGAAAAATGTTCTACAAAATTCTACAAAAAAATAAGGATATACTACAAAAAACTTCAAAAAATATTTGTCAAAATCTACGAAATTTTACATGAATCAGAAAGATGCTACAAAGATCTATATAAAAATGCTAGAATTGAAACACTGATTTTTATTGATATGTCTATAAAAATGGAATTTTTTATGGAAATTTAAAACAAAATTTGAATTCCAAATCCCATAATTATTATACATAGATTATTTAAAAGATTTCCATGGTCATTTCCCAGGTAGCAACACATGTCATTTTGACGTCAAAAGACGTTATTTTGACGTCAGCTTGCTACCAGGGTTATGAATAATTATAGTATTCTACGAGTGAGTAAAATGTTTTAAAATCTCGTTGTTCCTTCAATTTTCAAAATTTATAAGTTTATACTATTTTCTAAGTCATTATAACTTTAATGAAATAACACTTTTGCGTGTGCTTGATTTTAGAAAATTGTAATTTTTAGTACTATTGAGCAGATAAAATTACTGTAAAGATAAAATAAATCTTTATAAGATAAAAAAGAATCGAAAAACATAAATTTCTACAAAGTTTATGCTTGTGTAAATCTTTATGGTTATTGATAAAAATATTTTCGCCAGAGCAACACTTAAATTGAATGTTTGTAGCTTATGATTGTTTACAAGAATAATCTCTCTACAATTTATTGCTTGATAAGTTATACTATATGTAAAACATATGCCAAGTAAGCAAGAAACATTTTAAAACATTTTAGTTACAACGTTGCTACAACGTTGCTGCAATGTTTCAAAACGTTTCTTGTTTATTGGGTGGTATAAGGTTCATCACAGGATTCTGATTTAATTATAAAATTAAGTGCATAAATATACATTTTTTAAAACAAAAATAAAAAAGAAGAAAAATAAGTAAAAAAGAACTAAAAAAAAAGCTATTACAAAAAAAGTATATACATACATGTATGTACATCACGAACAAAAATGAAATAAAAAGAAATACATATTAATGTAAATAGAATTACAAATGAAGGCAAATTCATTGTATGTTGCAAGCAAAAAACTTCTCATATATAATAATATTAGTCACGAATTTTTTAAATAAGAAGACAAATATAAACTTCTATTTATGCTATTCGATCATATTTCTTTTAATAATTGTTCATGCGATAGAAAAGTATAAATGTAAATTGCTTTTTTTTCTTTTAATCTTTTCAATATTTTTTAAACTTTCTCTGTTATTCTATTTATTATACTTAAACTGTCTAAAATGTATAATCATAATATTTAATTTAGTACATTACTTGTGCTAATATATATATTTCCAAAATTATGACGAAAGTTATGATAACATCTTATACAATTATGTAACATATGGTACCAAATGTAATAATACAATATGACTAGAAAAGTAATTTTGATTTTCTACTTATTATAAGAAGAAATAATTAAACACTTAATATATAAATATATCACATATTATGCCTTATAGATCATATTCGTATGGAAGGCAATAATTAATAGTATACATGAAGTATATGTGAAGTACTTACTCGTGATTTCTGCTGAAATGATATTTTAAAGATGTTATATTCTGGCTTTTAACTGTTACTTTACATAATTTACATGTTGCTTCTGTATTGCTTTCTGTGATATAATAGTCCCAAATCCAATAGAATTTTACTTCATTCTTCTCTTCTTCTGCTAATTTGTCTGGATGTGCCTCTATCAAGTGATTATGTAAAATATTTAAGTGTGTTATACATATACGAAATATTGCATTACAATGATTGCATCCTGCTCTGTTCCTTGTCAACTTTGTGTAATGTTCACGCATCCAGCGACGTATTGGGATAAAATTGTATGGAGTTCCCCTGAGAAAATAATTTCTGATCAGCTACTTATTATAAAGGTAATTAACGAAAGAATAAATAAATGTTTCATATAATATAGATAGATTATATTTGTATAGAAAATGCTAGGTTTAATTCGTAAGATCCATTTAAATGTATTACAGTTGACGCAAACCGATTATTACATACAAATTGTCAGACAATTTTGTTGAGTTGGATGAAGCTTCTTGACGTTTTGCTTTTCTTAGAGTTATATCCTTGTTTGCATCTATGTCATCATCTGAACTGCTTTCTTCGTTATCTATTACGTTATCTGAAGTTGGACCTGATATCCTATATTTAAATGTAAAAGAAATTATCAAAAAGGCGAGAATAAAAATGCTGTAAAGATATTATTCCCAATTATGTACAATAATCTATTATGTGGAAGTTGTGAAAATTATCATTTTTTATTCATTCTTATTACTGGAACATTTAAAAGCGATCAGGATCGTAGCAATCAAGTTGATTCGAATATTTTACAAATCTGATCATTACTCGGTAAAAATTAAAGTGATCAAATATTACTACTTTTTTTTATACATGGTAAAAATTTGAATCTGTGATGCTTTTTGTACAAAATAAAACTGCAGTATATTTATATATATATAGTACGAATAGATATGTTTTATATTATATTTGACGAGACACGCATATTTGAAAAATTTTTCGATAAATGGATACTCTCGTCTGGGTTACATTTTCTTTCACAAATATTGATTATTTTCTTGTAATTAGTTTTACACATTCCTCATTACGTTTATAAATTTTTTACTACACTTAAGGTATATATGAGATGCTTACTCATGATGTCTTTTTAAATGCCGTTTTAATTGAGATGCATCCTGGTATCTAACTGTTACTTTACATAATTTACATGTTGCGTCTTTATTGCTTCCTGTGATATAATAGTCCCAAGCCCAATGGAATTTCACTTCATTCTTTTCTTCTTCTGTTAATTTGTCTGGATGTGTCTCTATCAAGTGCTTATGTAACTTATATAAGTGTGTTGTATGTATACCAAATTTTGTATTACAATGATTGCATTCTGCTCTGTTCCTTGTCAACTTTGTGTAATGTTCACGCATCCAGCGACGTATTGGAATTAAATTGTATGGTGTTCTCCTGAGAAAATAATTTCTGATCAGTTACTTATTATAAAGGTAATCGACGAAATAATAAATAAATGTTTCATATAATATAGATAGATTATATTTGTATAGAAAATTCCAGGTTTGATTCGTAAGATCCATTTAAATATATTATAGTTAACGCAAAGCGATTATAATTACTCGTTAATTGCTTCTGTTCCTTCTGCACATTCGTACAAATTGTCAGACAATTTTGTTGAGTTGGATGAAGCTTCTTGACGTTTTGCTTTTCTTAGAGTTATATCCTTGTTTGCATCCATGTCATCATCTGAACTGCTTTCTTCGTTATCTATTACGTTATCTGAAGTTGGACCTGATATCCTATATTTAAATGTAAAAGAAGTTATCAAAAAGGCGAGAATAAAAATGCTGTAAAGATATTATTCCCAATTATGTACAATAATCTATTATGTGGAAGTTTTGAAAATTATCATTTTTTATTCATTCTTATTACTGGAACATTTAAAAGCGATCAGGATCGTAGCAATCAAGTAGATTCGAATATTTTACAAATCTAACCATTACTCGGTAAAAATTAGAGTGATCAAATATTACTACTTCTTTTTATACATGGAATAAAAATTTGAATCTGTAATGCATTTTGTACAAAATAAAACTGCAGTATATTTATGTATATATAGTACGAATAGATATGTTTTATATTATATTTGAGGAGACACGCATATTTGAAAAATTTTTCGATAAATGGATACTCTCGTCTGGGTTACATTTTCTTTCACAAATATTGATTATTTTCTTGTAATTAGTTTTACACATTCCTCATTACGTTTATAAATTTTTTACTACACTTAAGGTATATATGAGATGCTTACTCATGATGTCTTTTTAAATGCCGTTTTAATTGAGTTACATCCTGGTATCTAACTGTTACTTTACATAATTTACATGTTGCGTCTTTATTGCTTCCTGTGATATAATAGTCCCAAGCCCAATGGAATTTCACTTCATTCTTTTCTTCTTCTGTTAATTTGTCTGGATGTGCCTCTATCAAGTGCTTATGTAACTTATATAAGTGTGTTGTATGTATACCAAATTTTGTATTACAATGATTGCATCTTGCTCTGTTCCTTGTCAACTTTGTGTAATGTTCACGCATCCAGCGACGTATTGGAATTAAATTGTATGGTGTTCTCCTGAGAAAATAATTTCTGATCAGTTACTTATTATAAAGGTAATCGACGAAATAATAAATAAATGTTTCATATAATATAGATAGATTATATTTGTATAGAAAATTCCAGGTTTGATTCGTAAGATCCATTTAAATATATTATAGTTAACGCAAAGCGATTATAATTACTCGTTAATTGCTTCTGTTCCTTCTGCACATTCGTACAAATTGTCAGACAATTTTGTTGAGTTGGATGAAGCTTCTTGACGTTTTGCTTTTCTTAGAGTTATATCCTTGTTTGCATCCATGTCATCATCTGAACTGCTTTCTTCGTTATCTATTACGTTATCTGAAGTTGGACCTGATATCCTATATTTAAATGTAAAAGAAGTTATCAAAAAGGCGAGAATAAAAATGCTGTAAAGATATTATTTCCAATTATGTACAATAATCTATTATGTGGAAGTTTTGAAAATTATCATTTTTTTATTCAGAGATTCTTATTACTGTAACGTTTAAAAGCGATCAGGATCGTAGCAATCAAGTAGATTCGAATATTTTATAAATCTGACCATTCCTCGGCACATACACACACACACAAAAATTAAAGGGATCAAATTTTATTGATTTTTTCTATACATGGTGAAAGTAAATTCGACTTCTGGGATGCACTTTATACAAAATAAAACTATAGAATATTTATGTACATATAGGACGAATAGATATGTTTTATATTATATTTGCTGACACGCATATTTGACAAATTTTTCGACAAATGAATGTTCTTATTTGGGTTACAATTTCTTTAGCAAATATTGATTATTTTGTTGTAATCAATTTTACATTTCTTAGTACGTTTTTAAATTTTTTTACTATGAATGAGGTACTTATATATGAGATACTTACCCGTGCTTTCTTTTCAAGTGTTTTTTCAAATCATTTACTTTTTTGTATCTAATTGTTGCTTTACATTGTTTACATGTTGTTTCTGTACTGCTTTTTTCGATGTAATAGTCCCAAGCCCAATGGAATTTCACTTCATTCTTTTCTTCTTCTGTTAATTTGTCTGGATGTGCTTCTATCAAGTGCTTATATAAAGTAGCTAAGTGATTCATACTTATACTAAATTTTTCATTACAATGATTGCATCCTGCTCTGTTCCTTGTCAACTTTGTGTAATGTTCACGCATCCAGCGACGCATTGGAATCAAATTGTATGGTGTTCTCCTGAGAAAATAATTTCTGATCAGCTACTTATTATAAAGATAGTTGACGAAATAATAAATAAATGTTTCATATAATATAGATAGATTATATTTGTGTAGAAAATTCCAGGTTTGATTCGTAAGATCCATTTAAATATATTATAGTTAACGCAAAGCGATTATAATTACTCATTAAGTTGTTTTATTCCTTCTGTACATTCGGTCAAACTGTTAAATAAGTTTGTCGAGTTGGATGAAGCTTCTTCACGTTTTGCTTTTCTTAGAGTTACATCCTTGTTTGCATCCATGTCATCATCTGAACTGCATTCATTATCTATTACATTATTTGATGTTGGATCCGATATCCTACATTCATATAAAGAGTTATTAAAATAAAAAAAGCGATAAGAAATGCTGTAGAGATATTATTTGCAATTACGCACAGTACTTCATTATGTGGAAGTATTAATAGAGAAAAGTTGCCGATACTGACATAGGTTTCTTAAAGTGAGACCCCCTTATTTCTCAGAAATTGCACATTATTAATACTAATAAAATCATTTTTACTTATCTTACGAAAAAATTAATTATTGCAAAATTGCAAACAATATTGTAAAACCTGCATATACTATCTGACAGAAGATATTTTTCAGTTTGTACTTATGTTTTTACAGTTTTGTTTTTATCTTTTGTTTAAGAAATATTGTCTAAAAACAAAGTGGTATGTCAGTTTCGGCGACTTTCCTCTAATTATATTATTATTTTTAGAATCTCGTTATTCAAATATTTAAAAGCGATCAGGATTGCTATAGATTGCTATAGTCGAGTATAGATTCAAATATTTAATAATCTGACTATTCCTCAGATAAAAATTAGTATAGTCGAATATTATTAGTAACTTATTGTACATTATTACGCCTATTATTACCCTTTTAGGGTAATAGTAAATTTGAATTCTGTTATGCTCTTTGTACATAATAAAAAATATTTATGAATATAGTACAAAGAGTTCCGTTTTTATACTGTTAAAAATTTCATGAAATTTAATGTACTTTTAATTTGCACAATTTGAACTTAATTTCATGACGTTACATTAAATTTAATGTATTTATAACTTAAAAGTATATTTGTGTACATGTACATGAAATTTAACGTATTTTTCATTAAAATTTATGAAATTTGATGTACTTTTCATAAAATTTTATGAAAAATACATTAAATTTCATAAATTTAATGAACACGTTCATTATATTTAAGTAACTGCTGTAATTTAATTTTTACTTAAATCATTCATTACTTTTAATTTCGTTTATAATTTACATGTAAAGGAAGCTCGTGGTCACATTTCTAACAGTGTATATCATATGTCGAAACGCATGTTTGATACATTTTTTTGGTAAATGTATACTCTTGTCTGCATTACACTTTCTTTAGCTAACATTAATTATTTTATTGCAATCAGTTTTACATTTTTCAGTATGTTTATAAATTTTTTAATATACGTGGATTTACTTACATGTGAATTTTTTCTAAATGATCTTTTAATTGAATTGTATTGCTGTACTTAATTATTTTTTTACATTCCTTGCATATTGCCTTTTTATCGCCTTTTAAGATAAAATAGTCCCAAGTCCAATGAAATTTCACTTCTTTCTTTTCTTCTTCTGTTAATTTGTCTGGATGTGCGTTTACCAAGTGCTTGTGTAAAACAGCTGAGCATTTAAAATGCATAATGAATTTTTCTGTACAGTGATTGCATCTTGCTTTGTTACTCTTTGTCAATTTCGTGTAATGTCCACGGATCCAGCGGCGAGCTGGGATAAAATTGTCTCCTGCTTCTGTCTCTGCCATTATAACCGTTGTATATGGAACGTTAGTGACTAATCACAGATGGTTCAGAAACGATTTGAAAAAGCGTTTGCAGAAACTATTTCTAAAAGTTCAATTATAGAGATGTATATATGATTCTTTAACGGAACATACATAAATATTGATATTTCTAAAGTTTGAATCTGTTTCGTCACGAAATGTAACAGACCTATTTATGCAACTCTAATCGGATATGTTAATTGCAAAATAATTGCATAAAAATTCTCTTACCTCTCTCTATATAATAGTAAAATCTTTCGGCGTGTTCCTTTTCCCACCAAAAATTTGATACTGTAACGTGGCATGCTGCGTAAGAGCTCCGCGTCCGTTTGTTTAGAGTCTGTACATATTTTTATTTAATGTGACTCGATGCTTCCCTCTCTCCAATTCTTTCTGTTATAGGTCAACATTTATTTATCGTCTCATTAGATCCTTTGAACAGACAGGACCTCATATATATTCCGAATAACAGTTACATGTAACTCAAGCATCACACAGTGCTTGCGAAGCGCTAAAAAAGCAATTATATACGCTTTTTAGCGCTTTATTAACGCTTTGTAAGTATTGTGTGCTACTTGGGATTTTTCTAAATTTCTATGATTACTTTGTATTTAAATTTTACATAATTGACATAACATATAATATTTGTTTGTTCTGTAAATTTGCCAATTTTATGTCGATCTATCTATAGGTTTATATATTTGAGGACGTAAGCGCTATGATTACATATTAACAACAATTTATCGATATGCCTGAAAAATTACCTTAGACTATATAAAGATTTAATATATTTTAAGACAAATTAGTTGTTAATCCGATAGTGTGCCTATATCATGACTTTATTAATGAATATATTAGACAGTTACTTCTTATTATTATTAATGTACTGAACAGATCCCGATTAAGGGCCGAAACGTATACATTGTCATTGTTCTAATGGCTAAATTTATTTGTACATGTCCAATCCAATTATCCAGGCCAAGAATCCAGGCTAATTAAATTAATTTTAAATTTTATTTAATTGTCAGCAAGCTGTTCCAATTATCAAATATAAAAATAAATAAAATTAATTTTAAATTTCATTAAATTTTCAACTCCGCTAAAATTAAACTTTTTTGTAAAATTCTATACACGTATAAATTATGTAACGCGTTAATATTGTAATTAATTTTATTGTAAATAAATATATGTACAATAGTATTAGGTATATGATATAAAATTGTAAACTATTAAGTAAAATATTTAGATAAATTATATTTGCTTTTGTAATTTGCACAATAATTACTAATGAATTATAGATTCATTAAAATGTATACAGGTATCCGTATCTATTCAATACAGATAGCATTTATCTTGTCGTAGTAAATCAAATTTATTGTTGTTTTATTGATGTAAATTACAGGAAATCGACGAAACATATGATAACGAAAATTGTTCATTGATTTAACGAGTTTGATAAAATTATTATTATTTAACTTTGAACCTTTTTTTAAATTTGGATTTTATTTTGAATATCAAAAAGTCATTAATATAATTTTAAGTTCTAATTAAAAATTATGTTTAGAATAATCGGCAATTTTTCTTCGTACTTGCAAGGGAAATTTCACAACTGTTCGGAACCGATTTGGTTCTCCATGAAATATTTTGTAAAACACGAAAATCTAAGAGACACGTATTTTTTTATACATGCGCTAACTTATGTTTAAGGGGTGAAACCCCCTTTGAAAAAAAACGGTATTTCTATTTCGAGCCGAATACCGTCGGAAGTATAAAAGATGGAAAAAAATTTTTTAAACAAAAGTTGTACGGTTTCAAGAGTACTTCAATGTTATGAAGAAAAAAAAATTTTTTATTTTTTGTTAACAATTTTTAAACAGAAAAATTATAAAATTTTTAAAGATTTTAGTTATTTCAGCGATTTCAGCAATTTATTTTCATCAGGAGCACCTCATAAAATGGGTATTGTTATGTAATTTACATCCACTTCTTCAGAGGGCAGTAGTGTGCGGTGGTAGTTTGCGGTTACTGGAAAAAGACCCTTAGATCCTCTCTCAGGTCGGTTTCTGTATTCTTACAATTAGCTGTATAAGGTACTCGATAGCAGATGATCGTTTGATTGTTTGATAACACGGCGGATCAGGCATCGCAAACATCCGTTATTAGAATGCACTCAGTCTTTGTTGAATCGTCCCGTTAATCTCGAGCAGATTGAATGAAAATACTCGGATTTGCACGGTTCGAGGAAAAATGGATGACGAAAATGCAAGCTGTTCGCACGACGGCGAGGATGATGCACAACTGTCACTGTTGGATCTCCCGATCGAAGTTTGTACAAAACGAAAAAAAGAATATTGAGATTTTCATCTTTCTCTCGTGCGAAATTCATTTTTTTTTAAATCTCCGCTATTATCTAGTCGCTTTTCAATGGAGTAAAGTGTGTTGAGAATGGAGTAAAATCAACTTTCTCTCTCATTCTTTCCGACCGCAGCATCTGTTTAATCGTACGTTTAATTTTTTATCGTGCTACATTTCAGATATTCCTGCATATATGCTCCTTCTTAGAGGCGTCGACATTAATACACAGTTTGAGCCTAGCTTGCAAACAGTTCTACCTGATTTTGAAGGATGATTCATCGTGGAAAGCACGAATTAACCATATATGGCCGGATGCTAGCTACCCACTCTTGCGTCCTGGTTAGCTCAAATTGATAGCACCTTACGCCTTGCACGACCACTCATTTTGTAAATAAATGAAACACAGTCTATATTCTACTCCAGCGCTGTTCAAATTTGCTCATGCATATGTAGGTTGTACATACATCAGTTGCTTATATCGTGTTAGATTTTATTTCGTTTTTGTCTTGAAAAATTTTTTTTAAATTGTGTTTTACAAAAAAATATGTTACATTTCTCATTTATGAGAAATCAAGTTTGAGCAATTCCGTTTACTGCAATAACCTGATATGCATAAAGTAAGAACTTGAATAGAGAGCTCGATCAAGAATATGCTTATAGTTTATTTGTTCTTGATTCAAGTTGTATGTGTATGCATTTATTTATATTTAATATTATAATACAAGTACGTTTTTTTCTTATTTCTTTCGTATAAGAAGTTATATGATATTTCAGCGAGACCCGACAAACTGTTTTGGAAATTGTCATGCATTGCGATCGAGAAACAAATAACGCTATGGAAGGGTTCCATAGAGGAGAAACTTATAATTGATGACGCACCGTACAGCACGATGGATGCACTGCTACTGATGCATGTAGGTGTATTACTGACGTAGGTATATTACATTATACAGTAAAAGATATGTTTTATATTTGTGTTAAAACCGCAGATCTTTGTTAAGATAATTGGGGAGAAGATGCCACACTTAAGCCTTTATTCTCGAATAACTTCTTAATGTCATTGAATTAAGTTACGAAAAAATATTATTAATATTCTAGACTTTTCTTTATTTACACAAATTTATAAATTTAACATTTAATATTCCATATTATTGAAAAAAATTGATATATCATACCTTGCAAAAGTCATCTTCCCCTTATATGTGTAGATAAGATGCCACCTCTCATGGGAGAAGATGTTACAAACAATTAAATAATGCGATGCAATATAAACTTGCATATTTTACTTATTTATAGTCCCATAATGAAAAGTTTAATCTATAAAAACACATAAAGATATGATAAAACATAAATTGAGGAAAGATGAAAGAGAGTAATTTAGGAAGTAAGTTGGACATACTTTTATTCATTTTATTAACTTGAAATATTTCGATTATATAAAGCATCTAAAAATTTAATTCATAAAATTATTTTAATGACGGTTTCAAGCAGGAAAAATTGTGTTTTGTATTTACAGTCATCTTATCCTCAAGTGTAAGAGGAATATTCAATTGCAATTTTTACGAATACAAAAATATTACAAATCATAATCTATATCATCCACATGACCGTCAGGGAATTGAATTACTGATTGAAACCGTATATTATTTGTCCGGTTTTACAGTAAGCGTCGAAATACAGACCTTAGCTATTAACATACCAAATGTTACAAAAAGCACGTTTCACGATCTACCTTTTCGTATTTCGTATAATCTTTTCCAATCGACATTGGCATGAACATGTTCATCTGAGCCGATAACTGCGCAACTGTTTGCCACACGTTTTTGCACAGTCAGTATGGTCAACGCGCGTTCTATGAAAAAACTAAATAAAGTGGCATCTTCCCTCGAATTACCTTAAACTTTTTGTGTTAAATTTTTAATATATCTGAGTGTTAATTTAATATAATGTGATTGCGGTTTTTAAATATTTTGTGTTAAATATTCAACATTTCTTAGTGTTAAAATGACACAATTTATAAACAGTGAACAATCGACTTAAAAATAATGTACTTTAAAACATAAATTATAAGATAAATGAATAAAATACATTTAATAAAAATATTAATTTTACTAAAGTAATGTGCTTCTACAATTTGCTCGAAAATTGTGTTAGTGTTATATTCTTTGTATTAATTTTTTACATAATGTTTCTGTTATTTCTTAACACATTTATAATGATATATTGATGATTTTTATTCTCAGAATGGAACCATATGTATAGCTGGTGCGAGAGATCGCACTCTGCGTCACTGGAAACTTCCTTCATACGAGAATTCACGCTGTCCTCAAATTAGGAGTTCTGTTTGCACGAATTCTGCACATAACGGATGGATCTGCGATCTGACGGCGATGGATAACACAATCTACACTTGCAGCTGGGATCAGAGCATCAAGTCATGGATGCTAATCAACACCGGTCTCGTCAAGCTGAAAACTTACGATATGTAAGCAAAACTATTTCTTCCAGTCTCTTTGCGATAAAAAGACTGGGTAAGAAAGATTATTTCTGTTTGTGGGAGAAATAATTATTTTCCTCCAAATTATTTGAATGCGATACAACAAAACTGTTTCTTTTGATCGCTTCGTAAGAAATCCAAGCGAAGAAGATAAGTAATTCCTGTAAGAGAAATAATTTGAAGGAAAACAATTATTTCTCCTACAGGAATTACTAATCTTGCTTATTGACAAATAATTTGGAAACACAATTCTAAAGTTCACTCGCCAAATCAAGTTTACTGTATATTATTATTTTGAGCGTATCATTTTGATATATCAATATTAAATATTCCAGGAAACCTGTGTCAAGTGCATTGCTGTGCGTATCGTCGTGTCCAGAGCAGGCCCTCTTTGCAACCGGCTCGTACAGCAGGACCATATTCGTATTCGATTCAAGATCAGGACATAAGCCGATCAGGCAGTATCGACCGCACACTGGGCCTGTGCTTAAACTGGCCATGAACTCTGAATACATCTTGTCCGCCAGCGAGGATAAGACAGTGTCCGTTTGGGATCAAAGAGCTGGACGGACCATGAAGTCTATCACAGTAATTTCATCTCGTATTTTTGTCATCGCGTAAAGAGACGCAAATACGATACCGCGGATGAACTTCTTAGGTTTCAGGCGAAGCGTTCCCCATGTGTATGAGCATGCAACGGGATTGTGTTTGTATAGGGGATAGCGCTGCGAAGTTGCATGTGCTAAATCCAAAGAACGATTTCGAGTTAGTGAAATCTTATTCTACCAAACATACGAAAGGGATAACGGTGGTGCATCTGACGCGCGGATGTCTGATAACGAGTTCCAAGGATGGCACCGTCAGAATTTCGAGCCCTACTGATCCACCGAAGCCTATTGCTACTTTGCATTCGGGATTTGGAGAGATTGCCAACGTAAGTATTACTTATGTATATAAAAAGATATCTGTTTTACTGAAGTACCTGAAAATTTAGTTACACAGTAAAAAACATTTTGTATTTGTGTTAGAAGCGGACCACTCAAGTCCTTGTTAAACTTTTGTGTTGAATTTTTTAAAACAGTTAGATAAATAAAGATAAAACGATTAGCAGAGATCTTGATAATATATATATATTTATATATTTATATACATATATATTTAGCAATAATAAAATATTCCATATATATATTAAAATAATAAAATATTAAATTAATTCTATTAATCAATTTAATATATTGATGGGTATAAGCGTTTTATATACAATTTTATATAAATGTTGATATAATGATTTTATATAAATTTTTATTATCCTCCGAATTGTTAAAGTTCTTCTTAAAATTCACGATATTTTTATAAACCTATAATAGCTTGTATTATATTATATATATGTATATTTTTTATGTTCTTTATTTCGCAGATGGATTATCTGAATGGCATTCTCGCGATATCTGGCCTCGATATCGCGGTGTGGCGACCAAAATTGACGTCTTAAACGAAACATCAGTGAACGGTTCAGAATTTCTATATGTGTTCTATAGCTATTCTATAGCTATATTGCTTTGATATATATATATATGTGTATGTAATATATTCTTAGTTTTTACTAAGATACTATTCTAACGCGCTCTCTCTCTTAGAATATAATATATATATATATATATACCGTTTTGCGAAAGTAGAAGTACGTCGTTTCGTTTGTTTCTTTGAAAATTCGTTTTAGTAAAAGCTTCACTAACATCACTTATAATTATAAGTTGAGCTTCACTAACATCGCTTATAATTATAAGCTGAGCGATAATGATAGCTACAATTATAACATCGAGTTATAATTATAGCATATTCATGAAGCAATCTTTTTGCGTAAGAAGAAAAAATAAGAGAAAATGTATTTATATAGTACAGTTAAGTTCCATTTGAACATAATATATTTTATACAGTGCATTATATCGTATGTCATATTATCGTATTATCATGTTTGTCATTCTGCAGATTTTCTCTGATGTTATATTTTATATTAATATATTTTAATAATAATATATTTTAATATAATTTATATTTTCCGCGCGTGAAACTACACTTCGAATATGTGAGAAGCGACATTTAGGGACACTTCGAATACCAGATATCTGTTTATAACATTTATAAACGAAAATACAAGTCGTGTATTCGAATGATGAAAGAATCCCTCATCCCTGTTCAGAATTTATACTATTCCTAAATCATCGACTTTTAATAATCATTTTGAAGCAATTTTAATGCACAGAGAGAGAAAAAAAATAGTTGTGACAACTCTAAAATTTAAATATTTGCAACTAGTTTTAAAAAATAATAAGAACTAAAGCAGTACCGAATACTAAAAATATACTATTCAATACTACTTTAGTTTTTATTACTTTGTAAAACTAGTTGTAAGTGCATAATTATTAGAGTTGTTCATTTAGTAATCGTCAAAACTATATTTTTCTCTGAGTGTGCCATTTTGATGAAGTCACCATGACTTTTTGTTCTGCTTGAAGTGTCCCGCGAACGCGGGACGAAATTTGAACTTCCCGCGACGTCACGTGACGCACCCACTCGTCACGTGATACGATTTCAAGCGAATTACGTTGGCGATTAGTTTTTTCGTACTTGCGACGAGCCGCGGTTGTCGGGTGCTTTTGTTTCGCGCTAAGGGCGAACCAAGTGCCCTAAGTTTACTCGCTACACGTGTGCGCGAGATATAGTTATCGAGGCCATATCGTATCTTATCATTCGCGCGTTCGTTCCGCTTCACGCATTCGTCCGAGAGAGCGAGCCGAGTTCGTGATCGCGCATGAAGAGGTTAGCGCTCGCGGACGCGACGGCGCGCAAGTTCGTACGGTTTATACAGGTAATCGCGGGAATCTCCGGCGGCAAACTTGTTCAAGAACGCAATGGAATCCTGAACCTTCTTGGAGAATAATAGAGGACGAAGCAAAGTCGACGAAATACCAAGGAAATTGCTGATTGGATTCACGACGTTGGCGGGATATCGGTGAGTCGAATTTGGCATGTTTTGCAACATATTAGAATTCAAATCTGTGATAATAACATGTAGCAGCAAACACATTTAATTGTAAAAATTAAAATTAATTATATTTTTGATATTTAATAATTATATATTAATTTAATATCTTATATCAAGAATAATTTTACAATGAATTATATATAATTTTAATAAATTAAAGAAACATACACATAAAAATTAAACGAAATATTTAATTATTAAATGAAATACATTTAAATGTACGACAAATGAAAAATATATAAACGTATAAAAATTAAATACATGTAATATGAAAATAACAATTACAATTAGAGCGGGCGATTACAAAAGGGGGAGGAGAAAGAGGAAGGAAAATGTGAGATTTCGTGGTAAAATTAACAAATCGTTATATTGGCTTTTGATTCACCCGTTTATTCACGCAAAACAAGAATAGACTTGGATATCCGTGTCGTTAATCGTACTCATTGTACACATCTGTCCATATACATACAATATCGCGCGTCATACGCATCCACGAAATGCATATACGAAATGCGGTGTATACACATTACATATTATATGTATATATAATTATAATTTTACTTTAATTGGATAGGATACGATTCCTCAGCCCTTTCTCATCTTCTCGAATTTAACCGCGTATATCTGAGTATGCGTATATATATGTATGTATATATACGAGTATTTTTTTCCTCCTCGTATCTCCGGACGCGTGTATTACACCCGTTCCCTGTATTCCTGCGTGTATTTGTACGTACGCATAATTCGTGTGCCGCGCAGATAAAAATATCCCACGCTTGTGTCGTTACCGTCGTTTGCAAATGTGAACAAAAACTATCCAGCGAAAGTCGACGGTGTCTCGTAAAAGTGTACACACATCGTCTGCTCACGTGTCGAGTTCATTCATGTCGGAAGGGAAAAGAATTAAGAAAGAAAAAAAAAAAAGAAATGTAAAAAAGAAAGAATGAGAAGAACGGAAAAACGTATCCGCAGTCGTGCACGCACGCACGTACGCACGCACAGGTGTTTTCCCGCGCGCATCGACGAAGGATCAAATCGCAGATCGCAGCTTGCAACTCGCGTCGACAGGTGCGAAACGGGAAGTGACGGATTAACGTTCGCAAACAAGTTCGCGAACCTATTCCGTCGGTCGACGACGTTTCGTCGCGAGAATTGTTCGCGTATGCGTGTCCCTTACAGAAATTTACTGGAAGGTAGTGATTAATTATTTATTTTGAAGTAATTAATTGAATTAATTTGAAGCACTGTAATTCCGTGCTTTAATTATGAAAAATATGTGGATTTAACATCAGGTGATGTCCACATAATTCTCACCGTGTTAATATTAATATGGTGTGAGAATTTAAAACCTGGTGTTTATATCAATATCATAGTATGCATTTAAAACTTATAGTGTTAAATCTACCCCATATTGGTGTTTGTATTAATAGTATCATAATGTGGATTTAAAACTCATTGTTAAATACATATCGATGTTTATATCAGTACTAACAGGATGAGAATTATATAGACACCGCATGGAGTTAAATCCACACTCATATTTTTTAGTGTTTAATACTCAAAACAAGTATCGACAGTTCACCATTCAAGAGACATCCTGGAAATGTCCTTAAGACATAGGAACATCTTCTGGATGTCTTTAGAACGTCCCTTGAAGATTTGTGCTGTATGGAACGTAATTAATCATTATCTTTCAGCATTAAATTAGACTTCTGTAAGGAATATCCCATCTCCTCCCGGAGATTCCTTACTTTACGGCGACTCTGAACACAATATTCATTTATACGAATACATCTGTCAAGGCGCGATAAGATATTCTCAATGAAATTATGAGAAAAATATTTCTGCGAGAAATATGTGAAAATAGGGCAAGTACTTTTCTGCGCGAAGTGCGCTCAGTTTTTCTGACGTCAAAACTGTGACGTCAAAGGACTCCACCTGTCGATGCTGCACATAATTGCGCTGCGCGTCGTTTTCTCGGACGATGTTTTTACGTTGCATAAATAAAAACGCTGATTTTCTGATGCGCCAAAAAACGCGCGTGCTCGGGATTCAGGCCGGCTTCAGAGGAAACACTTCGGAGTGCATGAATAAAAAAAAAAAATTTGCAAATTTTATATCTTAAACAAATGATATAAAAACCGGACAGCAAAAAAATAATACAAAATAGATGCAAGACTATCAAGACATATATTGATCGTAAAGTAAATATGTGCCTCTCGATCTTCTTTTTTTGACATAAAAAACTTTCGACATAAAAAAATTACGAATTTTTTTGTTAACGCAGCCTTTTTCTTCGCGATGTGCAAGAAATGAATGCAAAATAGATGCAAATGTAAAATAAGTGGAATGTATGACGGAGCAATTATACAAATTTGAGCCTCGCCTCGAAGTGTCCGAATTCTCGAAGACCGTACCTGACGATCGCAGTGACGGAATGATTTCAATACTGATTTTGGAATGGTTCGTAATTCTCTCAGAATGGAAACAATATGTCGCAAGGCACGGCGGGATTTTCGTGGAGCGCGTCCTCCGGAATCTTCGAAATCGAGAGAAAATTAGAAGATTCGAAATTTCAGACTTTTAAACTTTGAAAGCCGATTTCACTAATGAAGTTGGATAAAGTTGATATTAATTTTCGTTTAATCACTTTCCCATTCTCTAGAAATAGAAAATTAAAATATTATAAACTCCATTCATTCTCGCCAATTTGATGTTTATTTTCCCGATGCAAGTTGGATTGAAATCGAAACTTGTCGATAAAACTGATCAACAAAAACTTCAATTTTAGCATTTCTACCAGCTGAGTTACATCAAAATTTTTCCCATTCATCGACATCTCGCGAGATCGATTCATTGTGTGCCATTCTTTTCTATTTGTCTTGCCTTTTTCGAACTTCGATGACAAGTAGTCCCCGGTCGGACTGATTTTCTCCCGGGATTGTTTTGCATATTAGACACATAGACAATCAACCAATTGAACGTTGGCTTTGAGGACGCGCGTCCTACCCCGTTATGCCCGGAGACACCGCTTCCTCGGCTAGGTACGCGCGCTAATACTCTTGCTTCGCTACGTGTCGCTTATACATAACTTAAGAACGTGAAAAAATAAATAAATACTACGCGTTTCGTGCGCGACTCCGTCTGCCGGACGGGCGCGGAAGAAGACGCTCTCCGTTGCTCGCGACGTCGCTCGCAAATAAAGTACAGGATACCTCTTCATCTATCTGCCTCTTTCACGAAGTTTTTGAGAATGGCTACTTTCAGCAGAGAAAGCAGCTTTCCAACTGTTGTAAAATTCTTTAATATGATTGATTTATATATTTAGATCCAGTGAGAGAAGGGCTAGATCTATCATTGAAGAATTTTATAACAGTTTCAAAGCTGCTTTATTCTAAAAAATATCGACGGGGAGTACAACGCGGTATTGATAATATAATCGTTACTATGTTAATATTAATATTAACACCATCATAACTTAATACCATTTTGTAGCCACATCATGATGGTGTTGATATAAACACCAGAGGTTAAAAATTCACACCATGTTGGTGTTAATATTAATTTTTAGTTAATTTTTTAGAAAAAAATGTTCCTCTCCTGAACGCAGCCATTGTCACGTATACATTCGATTCGCGCATAATTGAATACCGTTGGACATTGTCAGCATCTCTTCCACCATGACGCCCGGTGCGTTTACTTCGGCGAAAACGTCGTCATATAAATTGCAATAATAACAACAATAATTCTACTATGACATAATATTAATAATAATATTAATAATGCGGTCACGCGGTTTGAGCGATCGATGGACCCTCGATCTATTCTTCTTAATTGTCTGTTTTAAAATACTTAACCGAATAAAAAAAAATCTTTTCAAATATTCGCCAAATTCCCGTGTTTATTTTTTATTGTTTTTTTACCGTATGCCTAAAAACGTTAATATGTATATATCTGTGTTACGCGATGTATTCTAACTACCGACACTTTCTTCGTCCGTCGCGCGTACGTTTTTTATAAACGACTAAAGGCTCAGTAACTAAACAACAAACGGATGAAGGATGGCGATAATAATAAAAATATAATCCTGACGTAAAAGTAATCGAATAATAATATAATAATAATAATATAGATTACCGTTATTACTACATAGTGATGAATGATGGCGATTAATAATTAATGATTAATCGAATAAAAAAAAAACGAGTGGCGTGGTGCGCGAGAGCGCAGATATTTTATCGACTAGAATTCGTATAGATTCGCTGTGTGAGTGTGTGAGTGTTTACTTGTATGGCTCAATCGTATCGTTTCGCTCCCCGTGGGGCTCATTATTTAGTATATTATTATGTAACTTCGTTCTTCGTCGTGTCAAGCAACAACGCGACTCACCGCGAAGAGGATCGCCGTCTCTCTTCCGGTTTCCCTGCGAATTCTCTCAATCGTACTCTCGTCGCACCGCGAGTACTCGCCGATGTTAGAACAGAACGACGTTCGCGATATCCCTCGCTATATTACGTGGACATCGAAACCACGTCTCGAGTTGGCAGATGAATCGCATTGATCGCACATTCCGGGTGTGGCCGTGAATTTTCCACCGCGAGTCTTCTTCCTGAACTTCGTAGACGTCGTAAGTACTACCGTACCGTTCTTCAGGTCGTTTATCATCTCCAGATGAAATTATCCGGACTCTGACAAAGATCTTAACGATTTCTTCGGAATCCGGAGATCGATACGCGCGGTTCGCTCGGCGTGTTCACTGTTCTCCAACGCGACGTCTGACTCATTCCTCTTCAGATGAAGAACGGTATCGAATTAAATCTCGTAAAACTCGAGACTCCTCGAAATTCGCGGAACAACGACGATCGTCGCGCCGAAGTCCACCTCTTCGTTCTTCTTGTAGTCCAGACCGCGTTCTGCATCGATCTCCTTCTTGGTCTTTGCATGTGTATGTATGTGTACTTGTATGCGTGCGTGTGTGAGGATGTGTGTGCCGAGTGATGTGTCTCCTTCGTGGTGCGGCGCGTCGTTGCTCCGACCATGTCCCGTTTACTTCTTGCGACCTAGGTACTCGACCATCTCCTGCAACCTTTCCTTCTCGTCCTCAAGCAGCAGCGCTTGGATGCAGCTCGTGAAGTATTGTGTGCTGAAGCAGTCTTGCCTGTGGTTGGAACAAAGATCGAGAACAGAAAAATCGATTAGTTCATTGGTGAATACCGATTAATCACTAAAACTCGGACGTGATGTGTTCACTGGATCTGTTCGCAATTGTTCCAATAGACTCGTAAATAGTTCAAACTTTCGTCATAGCAAAATTTTACATTAATTTAGGAAATTTAGACAGTTACAATTTTTATATAGATTCAATAATAATATACATATTTGACACATTTTTATTCGTAAATTTTGAAAAATGATAGGAATTTCACAATTCTGATATTCACAAGCAGCACTTCGAACAGAAAACTTGAGAATTTTATGTGCATCGACATTTCATATTGATAGGCATATTTAAGCGAACAGGTCTGTGATAGTTAGTAATTGTTAGTGCGTAGGGAGATATCGGGACACGTGTGGCAAGGCATCGATTGTGTTTCGCACTCTACATCGAGAATTAATATATCACGAGTAGAGCGCGAATTGTTTCGCATTATAAAAAAATCACAAAAATATTCAAAAATGTCAAACAGCGCAAAATCGCAGACATCGCCACCTAGAAAAAAGTATTTCTACCTCAATCTCTGCCATCTTAATCATCGTCCTGAAAAATCGAAGAGGCGCAAAAAATCAAAACGTAAAACATTCGTTTGCATACTCGCAAAAACAGTAGAAAAATCGTTATCTCCAAAAAGTCAAAAGGTACGTCGAATGCACTCACAATCAGACAAAAACATTGTAGTGGCAACTATAAAGGTGACAACTATACAAGTTTTATATGCAGAATTAATGTACATAGTTGAATAAATTATTTTATAGTTACAATAAATGTAAAATAATTTTTCAATTATATGTACGTTAATTTTAAATAAAATTTATATAGTTGTCACTTTTACAGTTGCTACCATTATATTTTTTCTCTGAATGTGGATAATGTGAAGTCAGAATGTACGAGATGATGCTGTATATTACGTCGCCAGTGATGCTGCATTTTGTTAAATTAAATTATAAACATAATTAACAGAATAGACACACTAATTATTCATATTTCTATTAAGTATTCATATTAATTCGTATTAATTGTTCCAAATTTATTTTAATACTCGCTAACATTTTCGAAGAAGAAGCTAAGGTTCTTTATAATTTCTATTACGATAAATTCCAACACTTCATCTTTTTCTATTGCAGCATTGCTCGCTAGTATAAGGTTTTTTCTTTTTCTCTTTCTTTCTCTCTTGCGTAGAATTACCTATCTCATACTCATTATCTCGGTGCGAAGATACTATAATACGCGTGGATATTCGTCCAGGGGATGGTGTCAAAATGCAACGAAAATATAATTGAAAGTATTGACAACGGGAATAACAAATAGGTTATATTAAAAAAAGGGATAAATAGAAACTCGATCAACCTCGATATCTATTTCTGTTCACAACTTAATCTCTCCCATACGAACTTACGAACTGTTAATACGGGCTTTTCTTTTAGTATTACAAATCGATACAAAAATTGTAATTTTTCTTTCTTGACATTCCATGAATAACAAAGACAGAATATTTGGATCGACTTGTGTCACCAAATGAAATGCAGTCATATTCGATAATGCGTTTGCTATTTAACTCGGCAAATAAAATATATAAAAAATTTAATTACTCGTTATTAGAATATTATTGTTTATTTTCAGTTTCTAAACATTTGCACGTTATTTTCGATCCAAACACCACTGCGGTGAAGCACAACTCGATCACTTAACGTATTCACGATTTTTATATGCTCGTCATTACTTGCGTATAATCGAAAACATGTTAATTTTCCCGCAAACTTAGCATTACAAATATTACAAGATGTTTACGTATAATCGTTATATGCAAAGATTGCGTGTACAAATCGGAATTTTTATTGTTTCCGACGAGTGGATGTATATCGAGACGAGAGCAGACGAGGAAGAATAGTGGAAGTGCAAGCGGACACAGTTAGTTCTTTATATTTGCGAAAAGCGGAAAGAACATAAAAAGGGGCACATAAAGGGAGAAATCATAAACTAAAAAGAAAAGGCTACCTAAACCCCGGGATCAGCTCCGTGGAGTTGCTTGATCCACATTTGGATCTTTCCGACCTCGTCCGTTAGCAGCAGGACGTCTAAGCATCCTTTGAAGTAGTCCGTGGTGAAACATTCCTTCCTGCAGAGAGTTAAAAAAAAACATAATGAATTACGTCACAATTAACACAAGTTGCATTCGTAGGCAGCAGCTCGTAGCTCGAAAATCCTGAAAAATGTCTCGCGAATGATCGTAAAACATATCGCTCTGACGCTCTCATCCCAGTAAACGAGAATAAATTGAAATGAATAGAAACGAATTCATTTTGACATTTCCGAATTCGAGCTTTTGGTTTTACAAATCCATTTGAATCCATGAATACATTTGAATTCAACGTGATGAATAGCTCTCTTTCATATTTTAATTCATTTCAATTAAAAAAAATTTCAACATAATTTGTAAGCTGTGAATACATCACAATTCAAAATTATGAAAATACACACTTTTGTTTAAATAAAAAAGTTATGACTGAAATATGTAAATCCTGAATTTATGTCCGAGTATAGTATTGAATAAGAATATTCCTATTTCGATCGAAATGAATATAAAAATAATGTTATATTTATAAAGAAGGAATTATAAATGTTACTGTAAAATAAAAAAAAATATTTATAGGAAATTTATTTTCAAGTCGTTTTATTTTCTATTCATTTCATGAACAAAAACGAATATATACCCTCAGATATCAATTTATTTCAATTCAATTCCAATCCAGCTCCGAGCTTTAAACCGCGAACTCGAATAAATTAAGACGAATTGCGATACAACTTAAAAAATTAAGCTTTCAAAAAAAAAAAAGTTTTCCAACTCGACTTAAAAGTACATGCGGAAATAATATTTTCGCTTAGCGAAAAGATTTGATTATTCCGCCAGTATATTCTTTAGGTTACAGTTCACCTCAATGCATCTGCTTTTTCTCGTCATTTCACATCTTGATAAGACTGAAATTTTTCCTAAATTTAGCTACATGCCGTTACGTGCATTCGAGCTAGCCCGTCAATTCTTCTCTTTTTCACGTTGATCCCGCTCGCTCGTCACACAATAGCTCTTTTGAAACGGCCGTTAAGCGGCTTAACGCGGCGCGGCACAAACGGCAGGTAGCAGCGGATGTGCGTTGGTATTCGCTCGCACGAGCTATAAATAGAAGAGAAATCTCATTCCATTTCGATACGCGTGCCGACGTATGGTGAACGCGTGCCTCTGTGTACGTACGCGTGCATATACGAGTGCATCGGTACTGAGAGCAGAGCATGTGTGTGCACCGTAGGTACATATATGTATGTATGTACATATATACATGTATGTATATACATATATATATATATAGGTACAAAGGTATGTATATCCGTACGTCCACCTTGGCCGTTGTTCCCCGCCGACATTTTTCAAGATAGAAATCACACGGCGGAAGTCGTTCGCGAAATTGTTTCACCGTCAGAACTCGGTAGAATTTTCTCTGGCCAGTTTTTCTCTGCCACCCGCGATATTTTTGTCAGAAATCCGTCTCAGCCCGCGAGATGAAGCTCGTATATTATGCACAAGGAGAAATCACTCTAGAAGACTTACACCCAATTTTTCTCCATCGCAGGGATTCTGTTTTCGCACAGAATCCCTCGATTAAATATAAAACATGCATTTACTAATTTGATTTCTCCAAGAGATTGTGGAGCTTTTATTTATGATCAAAAAACGAGCACGCATCTACAGCCCTCAAATCGATCTTACGAATTGCAAATAGCGTAACATGGAGATTATTAATTAGATCTCGAGGAATAAACTGCTAATTAAATATTTGAATATATTTTTAATATATTTTTGTTATATATTTAATTGTATATTTTAAATAATATAATATTAAATGATAAATAAAAAATAATAGTAAAGATATATATAAAAAACTTTTTGGAGTACATCCATATGAATATTAAATATTTTTGGAATAAAATCAAAATACAAAATTAGTATATCTTAACAGTTTATTTCTCACGAATTGAAGTCTCAAATTTAAGTTAGCATCCAGCTATTTAGCGGTCCAAATTATTCCAAAAGCCACGAAATTTAATTTTCCAGAAAATTTTGCAAATTTCCTGACAATTCCCTGGTTTTCAATTTTGTGACAACTCTGTGATAGATCATAATTTTAAATTCTTCCTTATATCAAGATTATCGCGTCTCTATCAATCGCGTCATCGCAAACGATTGCGAATATCTCATCTTCCATCGGCTTTACGCTCTAAATCGCCACGGAGCAACAGCAGCAACACGCGGTCTTCGACTGTCGGTCGCGAAAGTATCTAGTCATTGTGGATAATTAAACGTACTTGCAAAGCATGTGCAATTGCGGTTCCCGGAAGAGGTTGTAGCAGTCTTCGCAGATGCGGTCCAGACGGGCGAAGATGCTCTTGTCGTACACGCCCTTGCACTGGATGTCGAAGAACGACCTTTTGCCCAGAGGATGGCCGCTAAGGCTGGCGGCGTCCGCGCCCAGGCCGATGCAGGACGAGATCAACAGTAACGTCAGCGACCACGTGAGAACGGACATCAGTAACGAACAGGACGACCTCGCGGACGACGACCTCGACGACGATGACGACGACGACGACGACGACGACGACGTCGACGTGAGTAGCGTCGGACACGAGGAATGATACGCGGCCGATGGATACATCGCGAATTCGTCGTTGGATGACTGGGTGTTCTGCTGCCGATGCATCATCTGAAAAAGAGAGCCATTAGTCATTAAATTGCAGTTTTTCTAATTGCGACTTAAAAATAAGCCATACACTACATTCTCGAAGATTCTTTGATTATCGATTTAACAGTGGTCGTATCTTTCATAAAAATAAAATGCAAACGTGTTTTTGGATTTCGTCAAATCGATAAAAATATTGTCTTTGTTATCTCTGTTTAAAGTTATTTTATGCCTTTTATACTACTGTCTGTAAGAAAGTAGTTTTCATGTTAATTACAACTCGCTTATTAGCGCCGGCTGCCAAGAATTCCGTATTTATAGGCATCGCGCTATTTGTTTCTACACACCTGTGTCTAGATTATTTGATAAATGATTGATAATAGAAAAAATATGCGTTCCATTCGTTTAGTCATATGAAATTTTTTTTACACTCATATGACATTATTATTTAAAGATTTATATTTATTATACAGAATCAGACATACATAATATATTTTTAACATTTAAATTTGTTTGTATGTGTGTATATAGATTTTATCATTTAATTAATACATTTCCCACGCATTACTTTCTAGATAGTTGAGATCATTATAAACTTTTATATATCTGTAATTAATTAAAATTAATTGAATACGACTAATTAAAAATTAATTCATACTTTTACTGATAACAGACTAAATTGAAAAATATGATTAGCGACGAAATTAAATTGACGCAACGATAATATAGCAACGAAAACATGAGAAACATTCATATATACATTATTAGGAATGTATCCTAAATACTCTTTACGCGGAATTACGTTGGAATTGTTAGTTCGATTTTCGACACATACCAGAAATATGTTAATAGTCTCATCATTATTTTCGGCTTTTTCTAATAATAGATATTTTCGCAACCAAATTAAATGAATTGAAACTAAAAATAGATATCTTAAACCTGAAGTAAAGCTGGCTCTTTCAACTTTCGTCTTTCTTTAAGAATGAATGATTCTAAAAATCAGGCCCCCTGGGACCGTAGGTAATAAAATCGTAAAGTCCACCACGTGTGGAGCCAAGCTTCTTCAAAAAAATTTTTCCGAAGAATCATCTTTTCACTCGTTGCGAAATTCTTTTCTATTCCTTTCCTATCTTTCAATCATACTGCTTTACATCAGATTAAAGCAATCGTGCAGTCCGAAGGTATCTTTCGGAATGAGACGTTTAAAAATATGATCTCCAAGAGAAACCAGGGGTTTGACTTCGCGATTCAACGTCGTTGGCATGACTGTTCATCGAGAGCACTCGTATATGTAACGACGGACATTCGCATGTTCGGGTATACCAATATACCTCATCATCTTCTCGCTCTCCTCCTCCTTTTCCTTCGATTGACCGGCCGGTCGGCCGGCCCGGTTTGCACACACACACACACACACACACACAGGTTGAGATGTAAAGCAACTTAACCAGTCCTGCAGCAGTCGCTGTGAATGGACCACACGCAGGTAGGCTCTACCTGTAAACGTCCTCAACCGACAACTTCATTAACCGAGGCCCCAGCGCACGATCACCACGAGGGGGGCCCTCCTTTCTCACTCTCTTTCTTTTCGCTTCCTCCCCCTCCCTGTATCCCTCTTTTTCCCTCTTATGTCTGTATCGTCATACCATTCGTGGTCCGTCCCATCTCTCTTCTTCCTCATCCCACCCGCCACCTGCACACACGAGAGCGAGCGTTTCGCCCGGTTTCTTCTTTTTTCGGAACATAATCACCGCTCCCGGGTGGGATCTTATTTTTAGCCGCCAGGACGATTCTCGGAACTTCTCCGGCAACCGCTCTCTTCTATATATCGGCGCCTCCACCTGGTAATTGGCCGTAGGCCGATAATTTGCTCCCAAAGTCGCCCGCATCCTGAGATCGTTAAGACTCTCCTCTCACTCTCTTCCGTTTTCTGCCCCTCCTCTCTTTTTACCCTCCCCCTCCTCTCTCTCTCTCTCTCTTTCTCTCTCTCTCTCTCTGTTTCTCTGCTCTCGTATAGATTTCCAAAGGTAACCGCTTGTCTCTGCAGGAAAGAATGGACATGTTCCGAGATCTGTCTCATTTCTCTTCGAGGATTGACTTTCTCGGAACGTATCCGGTGTGAACCTGTGATCAGAGCGGTATTGTATCAAAGAGCCAAAATCTCTCCGTCTTTAGAGTCTTCTCATTTACTACTTAATTAATTTAGGCTTGAATCCATCGTTAATCTTTGCAACTATCGCGTAATCGCAATGGCTTAACTAGAATTTCCAGGCGTCCTGGATAAGGTGAAAGTAAATACATATCACGAGTGTATGTAAGCAGTATCTCTGTTTAATTAATTTAATTGCATTCCGTATAAGTATCTCGTGTCTTAAAATATTAATATGATCTCGAATTTCTTATGGCGTATGAAAGGAAATAAATATTTCACAGGTTACGTATTTCAAGATAAATCTTAACAGTAAATAAGTGTATATACAGCTCGTAATTTGCAAATCAATATCCAGAAATAAGGCTAACAACGAGCAAAATACAAGATAAGATCGTTAGATGTCAAGCAATTTATTAATATGTTCGTAACGAAAACTCCAATTCTATATAAATTAATACAAAAACATATCTAATTTTTTACAGAGAGAAATATACTGTATTCCATATTCTCTTTTACCTTATTAATAAAGAAAATTTTACTAATGAAAATATTAACAGTACTGAATGTGGCAGTATTTTTATCATCTTTGTCAGTAAAGTGTCATATTAATAAATTACTTGACACTTTACAACATTTATCTTGAATTTTACTCATTGCTAATCATATTTTTACACATTGCTTTGAATCTTAACAAGTTAGATCCAATGTTTTTTGTATTTATACAGAATTGTAGTCTCGTTACGAAACAAGTATTCACTGTAAATCGAAAATAATTTACGTCTTAAACGTTGAGTTATATAACCGATACGTAAATTGTCAATTGAATGACGCAATTAAAAATATCCTAGGTAATAAATTTACTCAAGATATTTAACCGAGATATTTAATTAGTAAACGTGTACTTTCTAAAATCGCAGATTTTTCTTCTTTAATTAAGACAGAAAAAAGAAATTTATAAACATTCGTCGCAGTCTCCTAAATAAATCTCCTCGGTTATCCTTATCGCAGCTCTCTCATTTCGTCTTCGTTGGGGGATCCGATTGGGATAACGCGTGTGAGCAAAATCTGGGGGGACTGACGGGGCGCGTAAAGACGTCATAAATTAGGCCCAGTTGCACCGGTACATTTTAAGGTATGGGGGGACTTAACTTTTCGCTTGGCCCCGATTTCGGTAATGGCAGGCGTCCTCCGCCCGGATTTAAGCCCGTGGGTCCTCTTATCTTAAATTTCCCAGTTGCATTGACAACCGGACCACACAGAGGCATAAAGTGCATCGATATATGCGCCGCGGAACCGTCGCTCTCGCCTCTGACACCGCTGGACCGCGAGATGGTAAGTGAGCCGGCTTTAAAAAAACGGTACAGCGTGCGCACAGGGGTCCGGTTGGGCCGATCTCACGAAGCGAAACACATTCGACTTACTTACCAGGCAGATTACATTATATTTTGCACCGACGCGACGGCGCAAGAACCGGCCATTCCATAAAAATCCCGACGTGTAAATAATGGCGCTTTTTAACCAGCCGATGTGGAGCTTACGAAGGTATCGCGCCGATAACGCGCTGCAACGTGTTCACCGTAATTTACAAGGCAAAATTGGTTAGCGGCTAATAAAATAAGACGGAATCCCTTAACTCACGTGTTAAGAAACAGCGACGTTCTTTAGGCGTTTGACAAAAATTTTCCCAGAGGAACTCAGGGAAAATCCGAGAATTCTCACACTGGGAAAAAATTTCTGAAAATAGACAAACCAGAAGATTCTGATCATATCAAATAAAATTTTAGTTATCACAGGACCAAAATTATAATAGATTTAGACAGAAAATTCTGATTTGTTCATTTTCAATTAGAACTCTAATTAATGCAAACAGACTTTTTTTCTACGCTAAAAATTTTTTTACAAGATTTCAGTAAAACTGTTCCAATTACTTAACCCAATGTATTTACAGTTTCTGTGAATAATTAAGTTCTTGAATTAATTAATTTTTGTACTGATTTATGAAGGGCATTTTTTTCAATCTTCTCGAAAAATCGAGACGAGCGCAGTCAATTGCGATTGTGTAAGATGTAGAAATATGTTTCGCAAAAAGCTCGCGATATCAATGCGTCGCGTCGATATAGCAATGTTTCGATTATTTCTCTCGCGAAAAATCGTTGCTATATTTAGTCTGAACGGCCTGTGGGCGTAACACAGAGATCGGGTCAGTGCAAGTTATACATATTCCGCTTCCCGTATAGAGATACTCCGAATGAAAACTAATGTTCTGACTAAATTGTGCCGCAATATCGTATGGTGTCACAGAACGAAATCAAAATGTCAAAATGATGAAATGAAAATCACATTCCTCTTATTTGCAATCTAAAGTAGCAGTGAAAGTTAAATTCTGGTATCATTAATAATCTCATCCTTTTCAACATTTTCTATTTTGTCTAATATTGATTTCATGATTAGACTAGAGTTATTCTAAGTCAATTATCTTACATCTTTTTAATATATTGAAGTTAATAATAATAAAAATAAATCATAACTTTTACTTAATAAAATTAACATTCGAATATTCAATTATATGTATATATTCAATTATATTAATTTTTAGGGCTAGTTATTTAATAATAAAATAAAATATTGTCTTATATCTTTTTAGTAAATATGTTTAAATCGACAATAAAATTTAAAAAATAAAATTTGAAAATTTTAAATACATATAAAATCGTAAGTTTTATAAGAAATAATCTAATTAAATCTAAGGAACGGATTGTATTCTCAACATTGCACAAATCGATATTCTAGACAAATCCATCCCTTTCATAGACGTCATTTCAGATTTAATTTAATGACGTAACAATGTATGCACCTTACGCTGCATACAAAG